TCAAGGCTGCAAGCCCCATGCCGCCTCACCGCGGGTCCTCGAACTCAACGAAGGCGAAGGGCGGTCCCCCGCGGCGATTCTTGAGGTCGATGTCGTGAAGAGTATGGAGTTAACTAAATTTAAACAATCCTGTCTATGACATCACTTAAAATACAATTTATCGAAGACACGAGGGGAATGTAGATGTTAGGAGCAAGGGGATATTACAAGAATGCAATTCAACACTTTAGCCCATTCTGAACAAAACAGTTTGAATTAAAAAATGAAAAGATTGTACTGAATAAAGGAAAACTGTATACAACATGGGTTCTACAAAAAGTGTCACCAATCATCTTATGTACGAGAGCGAGATCTGCTATGACGGGGAGAATAGCGTGGTGATCCTCTGCTTCTCCTTGGGGAGTAACTGCGACTCCTGCTGTTGCTTCTGCTACGGCTTCTGCTACGACTACGGCTTCGAGATCGAGATCTTCCATAACTTGGACTTCTGGGCCCATCAACTTTAACCCGGATGTAGGCAGTTTCTCCCTATTGGATAGACAGAACTTTCCATTGAAAGATCTAAGCTTTCATCTATCTTCAGGCATGCTGAATGCATACAATGTAACTACAACCAGAAATCTGGCAATTCACTTGGACACCCTTGCCTGAATTCTTACCTTCAAATTCCACTGTTAAGACCACTGTATCCAATTCTGGTCAAAGAAAAGAATAAGCGTATAACCTACCTCATGAGATCTAAACTTAGTGTTATCCAGTTTTCGAACTGCATAGGTCATATCTTCTTTCCGTACAAACTCCACGACACCAGTGCCATCTCGGTAAACATCAGCATAACATACATCACCTGCTTCACGCATGTGATCCTTTAAATCCTGCCAACTTCCACTTGGAGGCAGTCCTGAAAAAGTGATTTTTTTTCTTAGTATCAATTATCCTAAATTTCACGTTAAGCTGGTAAGGTACATTAGGACAAACAGTACTTTAAAATACTTAATAGGTGTACTTAAGTGATACCAGGTAAAGAGCTGGTAAGATTCTGGGATCCAGAGTCCAAAATTATTTGTAACGGATCTTCGTATCTAGTACCGCAACCTAATTTGGTAAATCACCACAGCAGCAATCCTCGTTTATTAAATTCACCCCAAAACTAAAGCAATTTAAGACCTAGCATGAAAAATTTGCAATTGTTAAACCGATCATGCAAGACAAAAATTTTAGGTAGCTTCCGTCCCTTCACATCAATCCACACAACCAAGTACACTCACCAGAGACAACCACTCTGTTTTCAGACCGCCTGGATGGGGGGCCATAGCGACCTCGGGGAGCTCCGCCACCTCCACCCCCGCCGCCGCCTCGGCCTGTTCCACGGCCGCTTCGAGGAAACTCCACCCGCAGACGGTACCCATCGTAATCATAGCCGTCGCGACCATACACCGCGTCTTCCGCGTCTCTGCGGGATCGCAGAAAGTAAAAGGCATGAGAAAGACCAGGAGGAGAAGCTCGCTCAGTCGGGAACCCCCCGCACATGCGCACCCAACGTGGAAGAGCCCACATGCGCCGCATAATAGGAATGGCCCCTCCCCCACCCAGAAACACGCCAGGCTCCCAACCACTACACCAGCCCTCAGCGCCTCAGTTTCCCGCTCCAGCCTGCGAATGGGCTCCGGGGACGTCCAAGGCGAGGCGCCAGAGAAGCCACACCAACTCAGCTCCTTACTCGACTCCTGCATGGGCGATACAGTCTCGCCCCAACCTCTCTAAGAGCCCCCGCTTCCCCGTTCTCTATGTTAAGGCCTTGGAGCCTTCCCCGACTACTCGGACCTATTTCCTCAAGGCTGCAAGCCCCATGCCGCCTCACCGCGGGTCCTCGAACTCAACGAAGGCGAAGGGCGGTCCCCCGCGGCGATTCTTGAGGTCGATGTCGCGGATAGCGCCGTATTTGTAGAACACGTCCTCAATGTCCTTGGTTCGGATGTCTGGAGGTAAGTTACCCACGTAGATGCGGCAATCGTTGTTCCCTGCGGGGCCACGAATCACACCACCTCCCGACATGGCGGTGACGAAAAGCGCGGACTCGAGAACAGGCCTTCCCACCAAGCCTAGCGCACCGCAGAGCGAGCCCGCAGCGGCACCACGTCTCCCGCGGCCCCTCCAAAATGGCGCCTTTATCAGCTCGGCGCACGGATATGGGGGGGAGACAGAGGAAGAGAAGCGGAAGGAAACAGCGATTCGATCCCAACACGCACGCGCGGGAGCGCAACGGATGCTGCGAGGGATACGCGCAACGCACGCGCACGCACGCGCGACGTCACCCTCCGCACGAACGGGGAAAAAAAGTCCCCCGCGTTCCCCGCTTGGGGTGGGTTGCGAATAGAGTGAGCAGCCGTTTGGTAAAAGTTAAATAAAGAACTCTCGTTAAAGGAGCTAGTCATCCAGGTCGGGTCTTGAAGGATAGTCAATTTCCCCAGGAATGAGGAGCTTTGAAAGCAACTCGGCGCCTTCAAAGGACTTGGTGAAACCTAGCGTAGAGCCTTGTCCCACCATGCTCTGCGGCGATAACGGCCTTTGGCGGGAAAGAGACTCGGAGGCGGGGCTAAAGGGGGAGGGCTCGGGCGGTTGCTCCGGAAACCCGGGTATCTTCGTAGAGTGCGTCTAGTCCAGAGCTGAGTTGCCGGTGACTGAATGGAGAGCTGGGGCGTTGGTTTGTCTTCCCGCCCCTGCTGCGAACAGGCTGTGGCTGCTTAGACAGATGTGTCTAATTTAGCGAAACCGGTTTAGATTCCTTAATCCTTTTCATTAAGAACCATTCCACCTTCTCGTCAGAACTTTGCATAGCTCAGTTCAGCACTCCTTGTGCTAGTCGCAGTGGGCCCGTACCCCGACCTTTCAACGTGGTATCCGCCAACCAGAAGGGGTAACAGTACTGCTTCTGGGACCCACACCTCTTTATCTCTTGTTAATCGCCTATCCGTGGGACTAGCGCAGATTGCCTGCAGAATGAATTGTTTCCGTTGTTTCCTTTTAAAGAACGAGAAGGAAGAAAAGGTGCGTGTGTGCAGTCCTTTTTTCAAAAGTTTCCTCTAAAAGTTACTGAAATTGAAAATACCGGTCCTCCCAGGTAATAAAATGGAGCGAAATGGATGAGAGCCGTAACCACTGGAGACCGCGGTTGCTATTCAGGACTGTGATCCTATTTGCCTGCTACATTGGGAGATAACATTTTACATTTTTTTTCGACGTCTGCAATCTGGATTTTTATGTGAAATCCTGGGATTTTTAAACGTCGCTAATGAATTCAAATTAAAATCAGGCTGGGCGCGGTGGCTCACGCCAGCACTTTGGGAGGTAGAGGCGGCAGATCACTTGAGGTCAGGAGTTCGAGACCAGCCTGGCCAACATGGTGAAATCCCGTCTCTACTGAAAAAAAAAAATTAGCCGGGTTTGGTGGCGGGGGCCTGTAATCCAGCCTACTCGGGAGGCTGAGGCAGGAGAATCGCTAGAACCCTGGAGGTGAAGGTTGCAGTGAGCCGAGATCACGCCATTGCGCTGCAGCCTGGGCTGCAGAGTAAGACTTCTCCTATAAAAAAAAAAAAAAAAATGGAGGGGGAAACAACAACAAAATCAAATCCTGCAGTCATGAATTTGCGATACCAGATCTACACCCTGAATTTCAGGGATAATTTTCTTCATGTTATTTACAGCAGTCCCTCTCGGCAAGGATGTGAGGCAACTTACAGAGATACCATAAAACATTATTAAAAGTAGATGAGGCTGGGCGTGGTGGCTCACTCCTGTAATCCCAGCACTTTGGGAGGCCGAGGCGGGCGGATCACCTGAGGTAAGGAGTTTGAGACCAACATGTCGAAACCCGTCTCTTCTAAAAATACAAAACATTAGCCGGGCATGGTGGCGCGTGCCCGTAATCCTAGCTACTCGGAAGGGTGAGACAGGACAATCTCTTGAACCCTTAGGAGGTGGAGGCTGTAGTGAGCAGAGATCATGCCACTGCACTCCAGCCTGGGCGACAGAACAAGACTCCATCTCACACACACACACACAAAAACTAGAGGAATGGGAAAATAAGGGGTGGATTAAATGAAATAAGCATAAATTACTATACAAAATGCCTGCAGTGAAAGCCTGTTGAATTTGTTGAGATAGACTGCAAATTTTACTTTAGTCTTCGCAGAAGTCGCGGTAAAGAAGGGTACACCAGTATTGCGTATTCAAAATCCAAAGTGCCTTTGGGATAAAAATAAATAGGTCATTCAGGAGAAAGACATGTTTTCTTAATTCTAAAAGCTGATGAAATGTATTTTACAAATGTCTCTCGGTGACCCCAAAATACATATTCAATTTGAAATGAGCAGGGATGCTTGGTCTTGTGCCTGAAGATCCTCAGTATATCCACAGATGACCTTTGGTAATCCTTGAGCTTTCTGTAATGTTTTCCAAAATTATATGCATGTGTGCATGTACAAAATTATATGCATGTGCGTACTTTTTTCTGGGAAGAGGATTTGAAATTTTAATCAACTTCTTAAAGGAGTCCATAGATCCCAAAAGGGAAAAGAACTTCTGAAAATTGTCAAGGGAGGGATAGATTGCCTATCCTTCAGACCATCCTTCAAGTATATATATAGGGGTGTGTGTGTGTGTGTGTGTGTGTGTGTGT